ACTATCAGGAAGACCACCGAAGCGATGGTACGAAAGCTGGACATCAGCATCCCAGGACTAGAAAGTTGAAGAAAAACAGAGGACTCTGAGTCCTAACGTACGAGGAAGAAGAAGAAGATGTTATGCTTAAATAAAGAAACAACAAACACATTACTGTTTAGAACCAAATTAAATAATGGCATATATTTGCCAAGGCTTAAAGTAGCAACAACGCACATAGAAACTGATGATGGTGGAAAACACCGAAATGTATTTTAATTGATCAATAGACAATAAATGACTGAAGCCCAGGAATTGAAACCTAAACTAAACTAAAATTGATTTGAAATTGAAAAACTAAAATTGAACTAAACCTTGCATTGGGGCTGGCCTCATAAGGCCCCTGGGGGCGGAGGGCATGGCTGGGGTGTCCCCAGCAAACCTGCTAGCGTTGGGGTCATCGCAAGGAATGCACATTGCTAGGGGCGATTATGTTCCTCAGGTGAAGCAAATATGAATGTTGGTGCTTAGCCTTACATGGAGGTCTCCTATGGCTAATTGAGCGCTGCGCTGGCACGTCACTGTCCCTCATAATCTCGCGGTAAAGGGCGGCCGGATTGGGGCCACCATGCGGCCCAATCCGCTTCGACGCATCCATGCGATACAGTCTGGCCATTTCCTCTTGCAACTTGGCGATTTCCTGCTGGGCGTTGTCCAGTTTCTGCACCATGTCCCTCATCAGGGCCTCAGTGTTGCCCTCCGTGGCGCCGCAACCGCACATGGCCTCCGCGTCTTCCTCGTCCTCCTGCTTCTCCTCAATTGGTTCCTCAGTGCGTCCTTTTCGCGAGCACGAACACCGCTCTAAAGGTGAATTACTGAGTGAGGGGTGAGTGGATGCGTAAAAAACCTGCCTTTTTTCTCATCGGCCAAGCGTTGCGCCCGAATGGCAGCGCAGTTGCACTTTTTGGTGCCTCCGGCTTGCGAAGGGGCAGCATCAGCAACCACCCCGGAAGACTCGGCAGGGGCTGGATCTGCAGCGGGGGCTGCATCTTCCGGGGCTTCCGAAGCCTCCTCTGAAACCACTCGGTGTGTTTGGACTGTGCTTATTAGAGCTCGCTTTTGCCCACCGGTTTCCGTTGGAGCATCCGCATTTTCTTCTGGGGCTTGTGGGGGTGCTTCAGCCACTGGTTCTGGAGGGGGCGCAGCCTGCGCCACCGGCTTTGGACTTGGACTAGGGGTTTTGGTGTCGTCGCCGCATATTCCGCACGGCGGTTTGGGCTGGCAGGTTTCGCATTCGGGTTCGCAACTTAAAAGCAGCAAGAGTTACAAACGGGTTCTTCGAACCACTAGTTTCTGGTTAAATCACCCGCCCAGTAACTGCGGAACTTTTGCCCCTTTCTTTGAATCGACCGCTCGGCCGCCGGGCTGCACTTTACTGGTGATGGTGTTGATCAGCGTGGTGGACGCTTTGATGAAAGTGACCATGGTGTCCATCATGGCGTTCCAGGCCTGGATTTCCTCTGGCGAGCCGTTGGGTGGCGGCAGCAGCTGATCCATGCCGAAACCGTTCGATTCACTTGGAATTTCGCAAATTTTGCTGTCTTCTCGATGGCAGTTTTGTGACACTTCATGACTGCAGGTGTAGTTTTGAGAATTACTCGGCAAGATTAGTGAGGATCACCTTGACTATACGGGAGGTGGCCTGCTGAAGACTGAGGTAGATTAGCCCTTTTTAGGCTCCTGGATAGTTATTCTCGCCGCATTCTTTTCGTTCACAAATCTGTGTGTTGTGTTAGGAGTGGAAGTTGCACATTTTGTGCGCACCGTGTGCTAAAAAAGCTGTAGCTCAAAAAGTAGCTCTCGCAAAATCACCTATTGATGTTTGCTTCTTACTCAGCCACGAGCTAGAGTGGACATTCAGGTTCCCTCAAACAGTCAGGATTCTTATGCGGAAGATCACCACATGTTTCTCGGCACTGAAGCTTAAATTATTCTTATTGGTCAATTGCGATCCACAAGCTGACAAGTCTCTGGACTTGCGTCTAGGAAAGCAGGAGCTCGAGGGCAAAATAGGGACTGTGGTTTCAGTCAGGGGTTATGTAGAAAAAATACAGCCTTCTGTTATCTATGAAATTAGCAAAATTTCATGTTTTCCGTCCCGTTTTGCATGTTTCTCGGAAGCAAAATGAGCAAGGACGCTC